TTTGAACCCAGGGGCGGGGGAGCTCCTCTGTGCATAGTTTGCATGTTCTCCCCATGTCAGTGTGGGTTTTCTCCGGGTGCTCCGGCTTCCTCCCACAGTCCAAAGACATGCAGGTTAATTTGTGACTCTGAATTGTCCGTACTTGTGAATATAAGTGTAAATGGTTTTCTCTCTCTATGTGTCAGCCCTGAGATAGTCTGGCGACCTGTCTAGGGTGTACCCCATGTCTCGCCCAATGTCAGCTGGGATAGGCTCCAGTCCCTCTGCGACCGGTTGTGGTAAGTGAATGACTGAAATGCATTAATATTTAAGCCATGGTCATACTTTACCTCAGTACTGCTATAAAAGTCGCACATGTCCTGGAACTGCATGAACTGTTCCAGCCTGCCAGCACATCATCTATCATCCATTAACCTACATTTTCCTTGATATGTTTTACAGCTTACACCTCTAACTTTAAATCAGTCTTTGGAGACATCCATAAGTTCACAATAAATCAGTCATTTTTAGAGCTTTACGTTAATGGCCTTAATGACTACTACAGTCATATCACCATGATTTCTCTAAGGTTTTCAGATGAAGGATTTTTCCTTATTCCTCAATTAATTTTTAAAACTGAAGCATCCTTTAGATTACTCTCACAGCTTTCATACAATTTTAAACATATACCTGATCTCCTGACATTGGGAATATGAGATAAGTACCCTATGGTACCTTATACGTCATCTGCACACAGTTCACATGTGAGCTGTGCGCTTAGGAACATTTCCGAGTGGAAAAAACGTAATTGCACTCCATATAAATGCATTTCTCAGTGTGGTTCAACAATGTCAGACATTTTCTTTGCACAAAGCAGTAATTAAGAATCTGTGGACACTTGAGGTAATGATCTCCTGCAGTGCTCTTTTATTCTGTCATATTTTTTCTCTATTCTGTTCTCACTGTATCTCACCCTCCTTCCAGTTCCCATCCTCCTTCTCTCTCCTTCGCTGCTTGTTGCTGTTAATCTGCTGTTGCAGGCTGGTCAGTCTGATCTCTCTCTGAGGAGCACTAATTAAACAGAGTTTCCTCTCTGAGACACACTTCATCACTGTTTTCATTTCCTCTCCACACACACACCAATACACTGGTACATGAGCGGTAGTGATCAGTGTAAACAGTGTTACCTGCACAGTGAGTTTGACCTTGAACATCACACTCTAATTAGAAACAGGGAGGGAAGTGTAGATCTGTCTCTCTCTGTTGCACCCTCCCTCTGTCTTTCTCTTTTTCTCACATCCACACGCACATGTTTAAACAAGCGCTGATGTACACATGAACTCGTACTCACTTATTCTCAGTTGACTCGTTCTTGTCACACTGTGTCTTTTGCCTGCTAAAGCTGATCAGACTGTTATGAGGTCTAAGCACGGCTGACAGAATGCGTTTCTTACAAGCATTTTAGCAGCCATTCTGTGTTGTCACTACTGTCTGTGCTTACGCTATCATCATGCCTAATTCAAAGTTATAATATGCTGTGGTGTCAGCTCTACGTTTTCCCGTGGTCCATCTCTTACCTCAGCGTAGTCACTCAGCTCTGAGGTCATCATATTACAGCAGCTTGAGGCCAAGGCAAACTTGCAAAAACTTTAACAGCTTTGAATGTGTGAAGCTCGGTCGTCAGCAGAAAATGATGTTTCCAACATCAACGTGTCATGCTTTTTCCTTTCTTTTAAAACCGCCTCACAACACTTACTGAGGAGCTTAGTGACACAAGCTGAAAGAAACAGTCAAAAGGGAGTTTTAGATCTTGCTTTTTGGCTTTGAGATGCATTACCGAGCAACTTTTTTGAGACATGTCCAGAATTAAGACTCTCCATGTGTCTATTTTCCAAGTATGAGCACAATGAATGCCATTTGCTAAAGTGCTTCCAAAGGCTTCACAACTTGTGTTAGCTGGTCAGAACGGCTCCATTAAGACTCCTGATTTGTTTTTTTACTGCAAGCAGCGAACTTATGTCGGTACCCGAAGTCTTGCAAGGAAAAATGAATGACTCATGTTCTTCTTTACTTCTTTAACTTAGTACCTTTGAGAGTTTCCAAACTACTGATCCGGAGCTGCATGGTGTTGTGTTGAAAAATTCTATGGTTGCACTGGGTAGCTGATCATAGGAGGAGGGATGATGCTGAAGAAGGTGTGCACTCTCTGCAAATTGCACCTGATTTAAGTTTAAAATATAATAATTTGCATTTTACTAAAATTTTACTGATTTCATTTACCGGGTGATTAGTGTGCACCACTTAGGAAATCCCAAAATAATTTGCTTTATAATGAGCAAGTTGGTGAATTAATAATATTAAATGTTATAAGCTGGCCCCGGTGCTGCAAAACAATATGCTAGGACAGGGGTCTTCAACGTTTTTAAGGCCAAGAACTGTTTGCTGAGAAAGAGATGGAGCACACAACATATATTGTATACATTTGAGTTACATATCAATAAAGCCAGATGGATGTTTTTTAGGCAGAAGGGTAATTTAAGTGACTATGAACGTGGTATGGTTGCTGGTGCCACACAGGCTGGTCTGAGTATTTCAGATACTGTCGATCTACTGGGATTTTCACGCACAACCATATCTTGGGTTTACAGAGGATGGTCTGAAAAAGAAAATGAAGTAGTGCAGCTCATACAGATGCCTAAGGTGCTTAGTGTACCAGTAAGAGAAGTCAAGGGCCACTGACCAGGCTGGCATGTTTGATGCTCTTGGAATGAGAACGACTCAGACTCATCACCCAAAGTCATTACACTGTAGTATTGAAGCTTTTCGGCTACAAAGTACTGTTGAAATATCTGTGGGGAAAGTGTAAAGAGTATAGTGGACATCCATCACAGTGTGAGCTTACAAAATCCCATCTCAAACATCAGATTGCAAAACTAAAGCTGAAGTGGCATGTACAATAGTTGCCATATGTTCTGTTAAGTGATATTCCAAATGGAGTTTGAGTGTAATTTGAATTTGAATTTAATGTGACATACTCGCCCTGTCAGCTAAAGGACAGCTGGTAGTGTGAGAGAAGAAGCGCAGGCTTTGATAACAGCGCTGGCATCGACCTGCTATAGATTTCCCATGCTTCATGTTTTATCATGCCGATATTTGATCTGCTTAATGGAGGCCCCACGGCATTCCAATAGTCCCGAAGAGGTTTTAGTATAGCCAGCTGCTATTAATAACGGAGCAGACGTATTATAACTCGCCATCCAGCCTGTCAAGTCGTGACAAAAGACCTATCGTATAGGATGTGACAGTGACTCGCTGCTGTGCAGATCCTTGCAGTGAGGACAGATAAAATATTTTCTTAGAGTGAGAGTTTTGGACCGTGTTGGCTGTCAAAACAAGGCAGTGAGATTGTCTGTTCCTAAACACAACTGTAAAGAATTCTGCAAACTGACTTCTTCAGTTAGTTTTGATGCACAAGTCCCTTTTCTTTCTTCATCCTTCTCACTTATCCGTCCTTGTTTTTCTTCCACCTTGTGTTTATGTCATTCCATTTCTTTATTTCTCCTCTTTTTCTGTCTCTGTCAGACCTCTGGCACCGAGCTGCTACATTATTTCTATAGAGTTAGAGTGTCCTGACAACAGCTGGCATTGCAGTATCTGTTATCATGCTTGCACCGCTGCTGCTGTCGTCACTCACTTTGAGTCACTGCAGTGACAGTCATGGTGTTTGTTCACAGGTGGGATATGTTGCTAAAGCTTGTCAGCACATGATACAGTAGCAGAGTTTTACACAAGCATTTCTAGAAGCAGAGCGACAGGAACCTAATAAGAGTGCAAGAGTTAGCTCGGAATGCTGCATTTATGCAGCATCGGCAGAACAGGAAAATAGAGTGCCGAAGTCACGCCCCTTCCGGTAGAGCTCATGGGACCTTAGATCGGAAAAAATATGAATGGCAGTGAATGAGGAGAGAAATATTATCTTTTGTTCCCGTTTGAGTTGCGACATGAAATCCAATATGTTGTTAATAAATTTAAAACATAAATTTTAAGGTCAAGAAAATCATACTTTGTGGTAAAACTGTTGAGATATAAGCTTTTGAAAAATCGCTCGCTTCCAGCAGTTTGGAGTGACTGCAGCCTGGCACAAAACACACAGACATCTTCAATCAAAAATTGATTAATCATAAAACAGTGGAATTTCAGCGGGGAGGCCAAGCTGCAGGAAGTGAGCAAAAGCTATGACATCACATACGCGACCTCCTCCTGTGTACTCTTGAGTCTTTCTAATTAAAAAGCTTATATCTCAACAGTTTTACCACAAAGTATGACTTTCTTGACCTTAAAATGTATGTTTTAAATTCATTAACAACATATTTAGATTTCATGTCACAACTCAAATGGGAACAAAAGATAATATTTCTCTCCCCATTCACTGCCATTCATATTTTTTCTGATCTAAGGTCCCTTGAGCTCTACCGGAAGGGGCATGACTTCGGCACTCTATAGGAACATGTCCTGTTATTACGTTGGCCCTTGCCCAAAAGGCACTAACAAGTGACTCCCACCTCCTCCACAAGATCGTTACGGAGTCACCACAATGCACGCGTCTCAAGTCCCGATGCCCCTTTGCCACACATGCCCAAGGACTGCTCCGCACAATACCAACTGTCACCTACAAAGCCTCCTGGGTCAAGGCAAGATGGAGGGACCAGTGGAAGTCAGTGGCTTCACCACTTTATTGAAGATCCCACGGACATCCTTGGCCAGCATCTTGCCCCGACAGCAATGGACGACCCTCAACCACTTGAGGACAGGTGTAGGACGCTTCAGTGCAGCAATGCAGAAATGGGGCCTTGCGGACAGCCCGCTGCAAATGCGGGGATCAATTACAAACTGTACAACATATAATAAGCAGCTGCCCCATATACCAGCCACCGAATGGCAATCTTGGTCTAATCGACCTGGATGATGACACACTGGACTGGCTTGCATCAACGCAGCTGACAGTCTAAGGACATATGCCAGGAGAAGAGGTAAATTTGGTTTTATGTGGCCATGGATGAAATGAGTTAGTTTGGTTTGACACGTTTCCAGTAAGAACTCTGGATCACATTTGGAATCTATTTTAAAGTTCCAGAGTCTACAGGTGGCACCTATATGACACTCCAAAGACACACTTTCAGCGGTTTATTTTGCAGCAGTGTGCCATCATTATTTCTGTGCCATGTTCCCAAACACCACTTATCCCACCTTTCCAGAATTTCCCATCCTTCCACATATCTCTCCGGTGGCATTTTTCTGCCAGACAAGGCAGACGAGCCCGCTGCATCTTCGCTTGTTCTGTTTCGACATGACAAGAACACCAAGTTGTTGTTGCCATGAAAGCACCCTGCAGATGTCAAATGATGTCGAAACATCTGCCATGCGACTTTTCCTCCAACCTCAGCAACTCTTTTTGATTGCAAAACTTTCTGTTTTTCTCTTTGTGCCTCTTCTGCCTTTCTCACTCGCCCCTGACTCCTGCCTCTCATTCCACCCACTGATAGCTGTCTCACTGTTTCCACAAAATTGTTGATCTCCCCCACCTCACCCATCCCCTCCTTTTTTCGTATCTAGAATATTCCCGTCCTCCTTCCTTCTGGTTCAGTCTCCATTAGGGCTTGCGTATTGAGCGAGACCTCCCATCTCAGCTGTAGCTAGAATGTGACAGGTAAATCTAAGACAAAACAGAAATATGTGATGTTTGCAGCTCCAGTGACAACAGCAACACACCTTCTCGGTATTTTGTCTTGTGTGGCCCGGCGGTGTAGAAGTGTCTGATGTAAGAGGATTTTGGGCAGACTGCTGAAGAGGCACAGTGCAATGTCAGCAGTCCAAAATGCTGTATGTCTTAACTGGAATTCAAACAGAGTAAAGCCTTTTCTCGAAATGTTCTTTCGAAGTTTTTATCACAGACATTTCCCTCAGTTACAGTACAGTCGGCAAAATTCAGTGTCAACATAAAAGCCAGTTAAGCATGCAAACAAACTTTGATTTTGCTGCGGATTCATCATTCCAACCACTCTGAAGTGTAATTTGAATGTGGATGTGCTGGTAGTCAGCCCAGTGTTGGAGATTTCCACTGCTGCCAGAAATTGTAGTAGATTTGCTTTCCTTTTAATCGCCTTTCCATTTCCCCCCTCTCCTCATTTCCTTTATTCCTCCCCTTGTCTGTTCCTTTCCTTTTCCTTTTGAACATTCATTTTCTCATATTGGGGTTTAAGAGCTATTGCTTGTCTGTCTTCCCTCCTTTCATCTCCTAAGAAATGTAGCTCTTCTGGATTTAACACCTCTCTCCCTCCATCACACACCTTTCATTCTCAAATATATATATTTTTTTCATCTTTGTGATTTTCAAATGTCTCCTCTTCTCTCCTCCAGAAAGCAGCTGACGTGAAATGAAATACCTGTTTGAGAAGCTAAATATGAAATCTGAATATCAAAGTGTGTGTGTGTGTGTGTGTGTGTGTGTGTGAGAGAGAGTGAGAGAGTGTGTGTGTGCATGCATCTGGCCACTGTCGTTTTACCTGTGCTGGATTCTGCATCTGTCTCCCTTCATCTCTCCAGGTGGTGTCCATGGGTCTGTACCTGGGGGAGAAAGCCTATCTGAGGAGCAGCTGGAACATTCTCGATGGTTTCCTCGTGTTTGTGTCTCTGATTGACATTGTGGTGTCCATGGCGGGCGGGGCTAAGATCCTGGGGGTTCTGCGGGTACTCAGGTTGCTCAGGACGCTGCGCCCCCTCAGGTTAGAAGGACAAACTGCCATGTTTTCTGTAATAGCATCATCATTTTGGATTGATTTGAAAAGAAATAATTTGACAGTAGCGTGCATTATAGTGGTTATACTTTTTGTTTTTTAATAAATTAAAATCTTGTGATCATCATTCACTCACAGGTATGTCTCAGTACTGTTCAGATTACTTTAACTTCAATTTCATTGCTAACGTGGCTTATATTCAGACTTGTTTCTTTTAGACCCTGGCAACACACTGATTTGTGCAAAAACATCCTATAAATATCCGGATGAATGGGCTTTAGCAGTACCAGTAGCTGCGTTGTCTAAATTGCCCGTTGCACTAGTTGTGTTGAAGTCTGTTCCCTCATCAAGTATTATTTCCCTCCTATTAAAATGCGTCAGGTGTGTACGACGAGTTTTGGATTGTATTTAGGTGGGGGGGAAACACTTATCGACATTGAAACCATCTGCAACACAACAACGGCATGGCGGGTCCCATACATTTTTAGGTGCTGTAAAAACACATGCTTGCAGTTATTAGTTGTAAACACATTCATACACAACACTGATATTTATCATTTTGGAAAATACCTACTATGTTACCTACCTGTTGTAACTGGTTCCAGCCCAGGAAATAGTCATTACTCCTCATTAAACTGTCAAATTGTCATCCTCACATTTTGTTTTTTTATATGGATCATACAAACGAGATATGACATGTCAATTAGTGAGCTTTAGAGATGCTGGTTTGTAGTATTTTTTTATTTTTTATCATTAGACGGACCCAGGCTCGCTGTTTCCCAGTGTTCCCAGTCTATGTGCCAATCAAACAGGCTACTTGTGGTAGTTTCATATTATCTGTACAAATATGAGAGTGGTATCAATCTTTTCATCTTAATCAACAAGTGCATTTTCCAGTTTTCTTTCTTTCTTTTTTTTTTTTTTTTTTTTTTTTTGCTGTTCTGTATTTAATGATATTACTCTATACCAGGCATGTCCAAAGTCTGGCCCGGGGCCCAATTGTGGCCCGCAGACCAATTATAATCAACTCTTGGCTTGACTTTCAAAATGTACCATATGAGCCCTTTACACAATAATGGTCAATTGAGCAAGATCACTTCGCATTTTTACCCATCATGAGGACTATCATACAGTTTGTAGACAGGCATCAAGTAGTAATAGTTCATTAAAAGATAAAAATGGTTGCATTTGTCTCACTTTTTAAAAAAAAACATTTAATGCGAGAATCAGATGGCCCCCAGGTATTTTCACATTGTTTTATTTTCCCATTCAAAAGTTTATAAGTTGAGAGTAAGTTTAAGTTTAAATGTAAGTTTATTTACTTTATTAAAAAGTAAAAACCCCTGCTCTATACAGTGTACAATATTTATTCCATACAGTGTAAGACTCTATAGCTGAGATGGAAGCAGCTTGTGAACCACAGTTCAGAGGGCTCAAATGAGATTTACCTAGGTCATTTTAGGTTTAGGGGAATTCAGTCAGTTCCCAAAGTGCACCATGGGACCCGACACAGTCTCAGTGTGTCGACATTGCATCATTTACGTAACTTTAAACACCAATTAATACTGAACTTGTTGGAGAGGATAATGTTTATTTGTGTTATTTCTGATTTTGAACTCAATGGAAGCTCCATGTCCTAGTCCTTCTTTTCCCCTGTCTCCTTTTGTGTCGTTCTCTGTATCCCTTGCTCTTTTTCTCATTCACCATCTCTCTCTGTGTCTCTCCCTTTGCCCTCCAGGGTGATCAGCAGAGCTCCAGGGCTGAAGTTGGTAGTCGAAACCCTCATCACATCCCTCAAGCCCATCGGCAACATCGTCCTCATCTGCTGCGCCTTCTTCATCATCTTTGGTATTCTTGGTGTTCAGGTAAACACCGTCAGATATTGATTTGTATGTTCTCCATGGTATGCCTTCACTTCTTTGTCCTTGTCTTCTATTAATCAGGGGATCTCGCAAGTCTTTAACAATCTACGCAGACTCTCTGCAATTTTTTTAATTCAACCTGAGATGATATGATCTAACATAGCGACCCCTATGCTCACCATGGCTCCATTAAGATTTCATACCATCGAAATATGCCAGACCATTACTATGCTCTTAACTTTCATCTAGAGCAACAATGAAAGCCAAGAACTGAATCATTAAACATGAACTGTGAAGAACATGAGATGAGGTTGTATGGCTCTGTTAGCACCCACAATGAGATCACGTTCTCACAACACAGCTAAGAACGCTAATTACAGCAGAATCCAACAGGAAAAGGTATTACGGTAACACATTACCAAAAATCCAGCAAGTGTGGGTAATTTTCCTGCCAAAGCTAAGAACTGGATGAGTTTAAAAGAACGTTTTACTCTCCGCATATCCCTGCAGATGATTACATAATGAGCCACAGCCTTACCAATCCAATACAGGCAAACACATACAACACACTTTGGATTAAGTTACAGCCTCATTCCAGCCAGGGTTAATTCCTGTTTTTCAATTAAAGAGTAACTGTATGTTTTTGTGTCTATGTGACTAACTGGAATAACATTTTTTAAAACTGGTTTAGTAGCAAGTGAGAGCGCAGCAGCACAGCAGCAGTGAAACAAGCTGATCCGAACCACTCAGGGCAATATGCTCTGTCACTGTACATCCACTGAAAGTGCACATTTTTGCCAGTTACATGCTGATTATTTTTCTAAAAGTCTAACAACATAGTGGATAAGATCCCTACGGAAGTAGATCTTTTTGTTAAAGGGTAAGATCCATTTTGTTTAATCAGAAACAGCCCCAAAATCACCATCGCCAAACTCACCAGGCTCAAATTTTGGTGCATCAAAGTGCCACTGAAGTTAAGGTTTTTGGCTCAGAATATGAGAAAAGGATAACGGCCTTTTTACCATCTTTACCAAGAGTGTCTCTCCGTTAGTTTGGTGCTACAGTATTTACACTGAATCATTCAGCATAACGTTTGCCAACCTTTGTTATCTCTGCCATTACAGATAAGTTAATGAAGCTAAGCTCCAGAAGTTAACGTTAGCTTAACTAGAGCCCTTTGGACAACAGCTAACAATGATGTACGATCACCAAAGTACAAAACTAGAACAAAATAGGCTAATGAACTCCCAGCAAACAAGGTGACATGATGAACAACGCAGCTAGGAGCTAACGTTAAGCTAACTTTAGCTAACGTTAGCTAGAGATGTTAAAGATAACTTTATATTTCTTTCCAGCAAAGTGACAATATGTTGCCTCAAACACAATGTTGACTTACCTTAGAACAGATGTAGACATCATTGTTAATCTTATTCACGGTGAGTTGATGTTGTCGTCTAACGTTACCACACAACTTTATCCAAAGGAGACACTTTTCTCAGTTGAGATGTGGTTTAGGAAAGTGTAAAAAATACACCTGGTCGCCCAGCCTCTCAGGATACCTTGTGTCGGAGTTGCATGTACCCCATGCACACGTTTGACCATTTTTAAAATTCAAATCTCAGAAAAAGCTCATAAAACCGAACAAAACTGACTTTCTGTAATGCATTTCAATGGACGTCCAGGCAGAGAATGTCCGAGTGTATGGGAATGGCTATACACACTGTGATTGGCTCATCACGTTTTAGGGCGAGGCTTAGCCATAGAACAATAAATATGAAAAGATACTGGCTCTATACACACTTGAATTACTGTCTATGTAAATGGAGTCTGGTGTGTTTGGCGATGGCGATTTCAAGGCTGTTCCTGGTTAACAAAAAAGGATATCACTGCTAATAATAACAACCTGAGCCTGTCGGTGGCAAAAACAAGCACTTTTAGTGGATGTAAATTGATGGTGCTCAATTGCAAACAGTCCGCAGTTGTTAAGTCGTCAGTGTAACCAAAATACAAGATAAGTCGACTAGCTAGCTCACAAAGGTGTTTATCCTTTAGGCGAGTCAGAAGCAAAGAAGCACGACAAGCTTGGAGGATGACCCCCAGCTTCTACTATAGTGGTATATCAACTTCCCGTTTAAACTTTGAGCAAAAAACTTTGTCACAAGAATATTTGGAGAACAGTGTGGCTAATCAAAATGTCTCAGAAAAATACGACATATCATAAAAATGCCAAAATACACTGGAACGTGGCTTATGGGAGCCAAGAATACAGAATGTGTTAACCCTAAAATATCATCATTAACATTTAAACAACAAAAAATCTCAAGGCACAGTATAGAAACAGGCTACTATATACTATAATTAATTAATAGATCATATTTTATATTCACACAACAAAGTAAAAAAACCCAGTTGAAATCTCCCCTATGATAAATCTCCTTTGCTGTGCTGTCAGAAACAGCTGATATGTGTCATAAATGCTCCAGTATTAACAATATCTACACAACAGGCTATATCATTAGTATTCTACAGCTATAGCTATTCTGTTTACGGTGAGTTCGTAAGTCTTGCAAACATACAACTGACTTGGTTTTCTCAATTTTATTTCATCAGTGCAGTCCTGCATTTCCTTTTGCATGCAGTTGTCAATCCCATCCTGTTTTTCCCCACATCGTTTCACGTTATTATTCATTCTGCATCTGCCGTTATGCATTATTTTACTCACTTCCCTCTTTGAAGTGTTCAGTGTGATTGAGAATTAAAAGCATCTTTTCTCGGGAGGAAAAGCACACTGTTGATATCAAGTGCTTTTGGAGTCTCCACTTAGGCTTCATCCACATACTGGTTACAGACACTAATTATGAAATTACTTCAAAAGCTGCATGAAAGAAGTGGGCGCGCACGAGCGTTGTCATGACTTCATCGAAATGCATCTTTGTGCGCCTGTGTCTCTCATTTCCTTCTCCGTGTGTGTCTTCCTTCACAGCTCTTCAAAGGGAAGTTCTACTACTGTGTGGGTTTCGACGTGAAGAACATCACTAACAAATCTGACTGCCTGGCTGCCAACTATCGATGGGTTCACCACAAATACAACTTTGACAACCTTGGACAGGTACAAAAGAGAGAAACTAGATCCCTGTCAACCTGTCTGGATTGTTGTGAAAGTATTAATTATGGATGAAAATGCAAACAATGATGCACACATATATCATAAAAATTAGAATAATGAGCATACGCTACAAGACAGAATTTCTCCTATACTGTGTAGCGCACGGGAAATTACTAAAAGACGTGCAACAAATACAGAACAACAAATCTACGGAAAAAGATTAAAAAGGTTAAAAAGGAATGTTTTCAACTATTAATGTAAAAAGACATTTAAAATGCCATTTTCTTGTCCTACAACAGCATTGTAACAAAAAACTTTTTCCTAGCTGAAATAATTGACCCTTCGCTAAGTCCCGCCCCCAGATGCAGATTTGCCAATCATAACGTAGCATCAGGCCGGCTCAGCCCAGGGTCCGACAACAACACAGCTGTGCTCCATTGACTCTAATGCAACTGTTTCAGATTTCCTTCATTTTCAGGCTGGTTTTGTGGATTTGGAGCTAAATGTTGTGCCTGGGGCACGTCGTGTATTAATGATACTCGTTACCTGGAGAGGTTGGAAAAAGATATACTTTTCTTTCCTGTTCCAAAACCAAAATCAAACCCTGAAAAGTGTAGGGTTAGCTAGCTAGCTACTGAAGATATAGCCTACTGAATGTATACACATGCTGCTTTTGCTCTGTAGTGATTATAACAGTGGAACAAAGACCAACCCTGCTGTACAGGAACCAGTGAAGGGAAGCAGGGAAACTTTGCTCATATTCAGCCAGCTGTGTGTCATCGCAGTGAGCGCAGATGAACGTTGTTTGACTTCCCCCTAAAGATCCCTGCCTGTCTGCTGGTGAAGGTTCGGATGCTGGCAACGACACAGGGTGAAGGCAAACACATTCATCTGCACACACTGCGATGCCACACAGCTGGTTCAATATAAGCAAAGTTTCCCTTTATATTCATTGTCTTGTGTGGTGATCAGCAGTGATGTGGTGGTTCACTTTTACACTGTGATCTGTAGCCTATAGTTCGTCTTTAGCTTAACTATCTTTGTCTTTTTAACCTGTTGTTGCTGCTGAGTCAGTTTGACATCCTGGATATATCCTTCAAACACAGACTGTAGACCCCTCTGTCTGCTTCTCTCTGGAATCACTCTTTCATTTCTCCAAAAATATAATATTTCTTCAGGGAGTGCAGTTAGTTGCAGTGTGGGCTCCATGCTTACTCCGACAGCTTGTCGGACCATCTCAAAGGGGCGCGGTTAGCGAAAGGTCAATTATCTTATGTATATTGTATTACTGATTAATATCACATGAAGGCACGCTCGTGGGCAGGTCTGTCTGTGGTACGGCCCTGGTACACAAACTCTACTCAGGCGGACCGCAAAGGTAGTTAAAATCTGTCTTGGATAAGACTTTGTACCGGTTGAAGTCTAGTTGCTACAGCGCCAATCCGCAAGCTGCTGCCCACTCTCCCCCCATTTGTGTAAGGCCAAAATACACTGCCACCGAGTGGCGTGTGTCAAAACAGCCGCCTGTATTACTGAACTGAAGGCCATCTCTCCCATCCTGCAAACCAGCCTTTGATCAGCATCACGGACAGCAGCTGAAGCAACAGATTTATCAATGCTAATCTAACAGCCTGCCCTGGACTCAAACCATCCTGACAGCTTCTTGGCCTACTGTGCTGCACTGGCTGCAGTGTAAAAGTTCTCCGGCACACAGCTTGTTTGGAAGAAATAAACAAAGAACTTCATTGCTTAAGTAATGAATTAACAAAGTAAGAGAGATACTGATACTGCAGATCAATGCTCAGCTTCAAAGTTTTCAGTCGTTTTGAGTCATAAAATGAAATGTGTATTTTTAAATTGTTACTTTGTTATTTTCATATATTAATGGCAAGCACTTCATCACATTTATAATAATCAGTAGCATCAACCAGTTTAGAGCTAAGTAAAGTTTTGTGGGTTTGTGTGTGTGTGTGTGTGTGTCTCCTCCAGGCTCTAATGTCCCTGTTTGTGCTGGCCTCAAAAGATGGCTGGGTCAACATCATGTACCACGGACTGGATGCAGTGGGGATAGACCAACAGGTAATAACAGAAACAAATTGCAGCCACATACAACAGTGGTGCAAATTAATTAAACTAATTAAATAATTCCATATCGCACCACTTCTCTGATCCTGCTGTCAAAAGCAAAAAAATACGCAAAGTAGCCCACATGCCGAGGACTCCAGCCACTTTCTTCAGCACTTGCTAGGGAATCCCACGCTTTTTTAGGCCAGATTGGACATGAAATCTGGCCTTATGGTCATGCCGGAATCTCCACCCAGTTGGATGAGCGCACAACGCCTCCACAAGGAGGCTTCCTGATCAGATCACCAAAACACCTCAACTAGCTCCAGCAGAAAAATACTCACTCTTCAGTTTATTCTTGAAGTTGAGTTAAAGCAGGATGGCCAAGTACTATACAATTCATTGCTGCATGTCATCCTCTTTAAACTGCCACTATACTCCATCAGAACTACGTGTCAGTTGTAAAGCTTCAGAGACCATCTCCCCCTTCACCTTTCCAACGTCAGTTTAGGGGGGGCTGTCTCCAATAATTTCCATTATTTTTCGAAACCACCAACTTGACGCAGACACACTCTTCACATCCTAATTAGCCAGCTGTGCAGCGCTAGGGATTAAACTTCTCTCGGATTTTTTTTTTTTTTCATCCTTGATATGAATATTTCTGACACTTTTCATGTGAAAGGTAAAGTACAACTCATAACCAATATTTCCACCAATTTACCCAAGATAAAAATTGCTGTCAGAGATTCTTAGGTTACAAAATATAGTCTTGCCATCCTGACGTATAATGCACTGATTCACAGAAGTTCAACATTTAAGTAAACTTCCCCTCAACCTCACAGATCATGCACACATTCACCCACATGACGTCAAAGTACGATGACACGATGCAAATTAGTCTTCTGAAGTGGCTTCAAAGTGAACAGATTCCCTTTAGAATTCATTTTATTTGAAAATCTATTAGGGAATCTATTAACGAGAGGACATTATTCTGGATGATTCAGTTTCCCCGCCTCGGGGAAAAACCTCGCTGCAGTCCAACATGGCTCTGAATGACTAATCCTATTTGCACTCCACCCTGCGCTTTCAACACCCAACGCACTTCCAAATTGAAAATCTGACTCTCATCTCCAGTTTTATTGCACCTGAACTTGGTCTTTGTTTTGTAATGACTCCCTGCAATGACTACCTCCACACCCAAGCATCCTGATTTGTTCTTCACATTGTCTCCCTTTTCTGCCTTTTCTTGGGTTACATTGTCATCCTTTCTTACCAGAGGCAGCTCCTGGATTTTTGGACGATACTGGCTGTGGATTGGGTCAGTTAATTTGAAGACCGTGAGAGGCTTGTAGTAGTATTTCAAATGTTTCTCAAAACTGGACAAATTTATAGTGGTGATGAACTAATCCAGAATTTTTCTGACAATTTACTGACAGCAGAGTAAATAGTAGTTTCCTTATCACCGCAGCTGACTGGATTTATGTGTCTGTGCTAATACTGTAAAGCATTTCTGAAAAAGATTTAAATTTAATATGAGTGTGATGGTGTCTTTGGATTGTGTGATGAAATCAAAGCAGGCGAAGGAAGGACGTACAAGCTCCACTCACCCCTTACAGTAAGGCCCAGATCTCACCACTGAGCCGCCATCTCATGCCATAGTAGTAATTAGTGTTAGAGTACAATATCAAAACATATGAAGCAAGCAAAACAGTGGAAACTCTGCTTACCTGTGCATTCAATTCATTGCTTTCACACCTGCCCTGTTTGGTGCAGTTCAGCCAAACTTGCCGCCTACAGTAAGTGCAGTTTGTTTGGGCAGGTGTGAACACAGCAATCACACTCAGGTGCGCACCAAAACAACTGACCTTCTTGTAGAGGTGGTCCGGTTACAAACGAACTCTGGTGCGGTTCATTTGTGGCGAGAACGTGTTCCGACCTCGGTCCGAACCAACTGCAGTCACATGACACATTGTTTGGGTTAAACATGAGCATGTTACAGTCCTGGAGGATTATTA